CCTCGATGGCACCAAGGCGGCACCGGCCAAAACACTCGTCGTCGGCACCGGCGACGCTGCCATTACCGTCACCAACCCGGAGTACCGCCAATGGTGGGTTCAAGATCAGCGCGTCAAGGGGCTTCTTCTCACCTCCATGGATGAGGATATTGCATGCCAATTCATTGGCTGCGAGTCGGTGCATGCGGTGTGGACAGCCGTCGCCGCCATGTTCGACGCCTAGAGCCGCGCCAATGTCCGCCACATCCGGTGGCAACTTCAGTCACTGAGGAAGGACGATTTGTCCGCCGCGGAATACATGCACAAGATGAAAGCCCTGGCCGACACTATGGCCGCCACCGGCTATCCGATCCGCGATGATGAGCTTATCGATCACATCCTCACCGGCCTTGGCTCCGCCAACAACTCCATCGCCGCCTCCTTTGGCGTGAGTAACACACCCATGCCCTACTCCAGTTTTTACTCATTGGTTCTGTCCTTCGAGGTGCTGCAGGGACAGCAGAGTACGGTGGAGGGGTAGTCTCCCTCCGCGAACGCCGTGACCCGTTCGAGTTCATACGGCGTGCGCGGACACGCGCCCTACTGATCCGATCCCTATCCCTCCCAAGGAGGGGGCGCCCGGCTGATGGACATGGCTAGCCAGGGCAGAGCCGCCAGGGAGGTAATGGCGGCAACACAGGCGGTCGTGACTGCAACGCTGGTTATGCCGGCAATGGCCGGCAAGGTGAAGGGGGCAACGCCGGCAACAACGGCGGATGAGGTGGGCGTCGCAACCGCTGGCGTCCCCGGTGCCAAATTTGCAACAACTGGGGCCATGAAGCCGATGACTGCCGCAAGCGCTATGACCAGGATCACAACTCCCGATCCGCCAACTCGGCCTCCACCAACATCATCGACTTTCCTTGGGTGCTGGATACCGGGGCTACGGATCACTTGACTAATGATCTTGAGCGCCTCCAAGTTCACGAGCGCTATGACGGCAAGGATCAGGTTCAGGTGGCTAATGGTGCAGGTTTGTCTATTTCCCACATTGGTCATTCGCGTTTACCCGGTTCATCTCTTAAACTGCGTAACGTCCTTCATGTTCCACACATCAGCCAACATCTTCTCTCTGTCTATCGTCTTCTTTGTGATAATGACATGTTTGTTGAATTTCACCGTCGTTTTTCCTTGTTA